GCTAGAAAGAATGATATTGGACTGATGTTTTGTTGACGTTTGGTCAGTTTGTTGGTTGGTTAGTTTCATTGGTTTATTCGTTGTTTTGTTAGTTCTTTCCTTCGTTTGTTCGTTGGTTTGTTTGTTCGTTCGTTCCTTCGCTCATTGTTCGTTCTTTCCTTCGTTTGTTGGCGAAACTGAAGTGTGTTGCCCAAGAACGTGACAAGAAGAACATGACACAATGTTTTTTCTTTAGCGAGAGCTTGAACTTGCATCGCCTAACCAGAGTTTAGCCCACAGATCATGGGGCTAATTGCGTGACAAAGGTGTGACTGTATCAGGCCTGCAATGCATTATGGGTATCTTAATCGTTCCAGCACAGAATGAACACTCGCGCCCAAAGTGAAATATATTTTAAGTGTAAAAGCAGGTCATAACTTGAACTTTCCGATGCTCCCGTTGCCTTGTGTCTGCAACGTAACTCTTTAAAATACCTGTTCTTCTCCCTGTAAAGAGACCTGCTTTTACACTGGCTCCGTTTTGGCTTCATGCAGAGTCGCTGTCCAAGTTTCATTGTTGAAGTGCTGAGAAGCACTCTTGCACAAGCGAGCTGCCGCACACAATCGTTTCTTCGAAAGGTGCGCTTCAACTTGCGGATCTCCAGACTTAATGATGTCTTTTGATCACCAAAACAGAGCCTATTTTGTAACTCACTTCTTTACAAACCAGGTAGCACCAATTCGGCGATATTCATACCGAGGCCATGTCACATGACCCCTCCAAACTGGTTCTCAGACCTCCGCTCGATTTTATGCAAATAACTATGTTTTTGAGTGCGCAATGCTGAAGTTTTCAGCTTTCTTTTGTAAAACAGGAGAGCAAAAAAATCCCGCATAATCTCAGCCTACAGTCTACGAACGGTCACTCCAAGACGCAGACCATGGAGGCTGCAGACCGTGCAGACTGAGTACTTTTTTTCTAAGACTTGACTCACTTTTTTCGCTTCTTATGAGAAAATAGTTATCTATATGCCCTAATGTTTGTTATTTATCCACAGGAGGCGCAAACTCAACATCTGACTGTTGATTCACGCGTTTAATAGACTTTCTATGGGAAATGCCCTTTACTGGTCCTAAATATACTAAAATCAAGCACTAAAATAAACTTCCATACATTCTGGTCGCAAATTGCGTCAAGTTTTGACGGGTTTGTGGTTTATTTCTTTTCTCTTATTTGTTGTTGTTGTGTTGTTGTTTTTTTTCGATTTTCTTCGTCTTCGTTCTCCTCTTAACTGGTTCATTAAACAAAGCAAGGACGGGACTCTAAGCGACCTTCTCCCACAAATCGCGTTTTCTTCACATAGTACAGAATCGCCATTACACTAGCAGTATTCCCTCTTTCGCTTAGTTGAGCATGACCGTAAGTAAACCTCGACGAGAAAAATGCTCGCATGAAATTTTTCCTCGAGGTTTTCTTATGCGTCACGCACGATGGACTAAGCGAAAGAGGGACCACTCGCAGTTTAAATCGCCATAAAAACAAAACTGCAGATAAATTAACCAGCGCATCAACTCATCACGACAACCGTATTGCGCTGGGAATTTCAAATGCTATTCGGTTTTCTGTGATCTTTCCATGCGCTAGGCGTTTTTGGCGTGATCACAGTCACACTCCAACAGCCACGTTACATTTTGTATAGCAATAGTAGGAAATGCACAAGTTACGTGTGACATTACATTACAAGTGAAGTTTATTTCTACATTTTAAAATAGCTTTACTTAAGCATATTTAGGACTAAAGGAAGCTTCCCTTGCAAAATCTAAAACACATCAACAGTCGCATACCACCGAGTTTGCGTGGGCTGTGGATGAACAGAACCAAAAAATATGCGAGTCAAAACTAAATTCAAAAACAAGAATAAGAAAACAAAAGTACTCAGTCTGCACAGTCTGCGTGGTCTCTACGGTCTGCGATCTGCAGTCTGCANTGCGGGTTTCAGACTCTCTGAGCCCGCGCAGTATCATGGCAGAGGATACCTTAAGGAAAACAATATGGCGGAGGCGGGGGAATCTAAAGAGAACCCGTTTTCTTTTAAAACCTTTGTGAAAACCAAACAAGATACGACAAGTCCAAAAACTAACAAAGCTCAAGGTAAACAGAAGTCTAAAGATTCTGCTGTGAATCTGCGTAACAAGAATAATTTTAAAGAGGAGGCACCTTTTCCGGAAGTCGACAAACAAGGTACGACAATCATATTTCACGACTATTTCTTTCTTCTTTGCTCGTAAACAATACAAATTTTTCAGTAAGTATAACAGTTCTTTCAAACTTTAGGAACATTTCACACGTTAACGCAAAATTAATAACTCAAAGGAAACATACCTGCAGTGATTTTCGCTTTCATTTCATCCTCGACAGTTAACGTTCTTCCGCCATCATAGAAACTCGAGCTTACCTGTCTTTATTTTTTAAAATTAAATAATTATAAGCTTATTTTGAATTGAATAAATCATGTGTCATTCTTTCATATAATGTGTCTACTAAACTGTTGCCTTTTATTAGAACCTAGCTCAACCTCAAATTGGAAAAAACTTATTTTACAATTTCCCTCTACAATATGTAAACTTATGCAACCTTACATACACCTTTTTACTTCAGCCGAGGCCACCTGACAGTTTCCAACCAATCACGACACAATTTCGAAAGAAAACTACCTGACGAATTTGTACGTGATATAGGTATATATCACCAATCATGTTTGAACAGTACGATTGTCAGCTGTTGGATCAAGCAAGTTTGACTGGCTGATAAATACGTCCAAAATTTAATTCACTTCAACAGCACAACAAACAAATGACAGAAGTAACTTTATTTGCAACTAGCACATAGAAAACCACCCATAAACATAATGAATTTAAACACTTAATTTTTTTAAGTGATCATATTGTTGGTTTCAATGACAAAGACAAATAAAGATAAATGATTATGCAGTTCCATATCCATGTTACTCATTCATTACTCCCACACTGAATAATTAGAAACATAATCACTCTGATCATCAAAGCATGATTGATCCATGCTGCTTCCATGGTGCTTACTTCTTTAGTTTCTCAATAGAATGTGTTTCAATGTATAGGGTGCAAAGAAAACTGAAAGCCACTCTCACTAGTCCCCTAAGAATTTCTACTAGTGTGA